TTTGAGTAATCTTTGCCGAGGTTCATGCAGCCTTTGTTCTGTTATGGTTCATCTATACACAGCCTAATAGGTCCCCTTTGTGTGCATGTATTGGGCACCTTGGCAGAAGGGTCCCAGGACGGGACATCTTTAACACTTTGATAAGCTTTGCTCAAAGGCAACAAGAATGCAGGTGCATTGGCATAAGCCTGTAATCCCAGCTATTGAGGAGGCTGAGACAGGAATGGAAGTTCAAGGCCAGCCTGAGCTACTTAGCAAGACCCCATCTCAAAACCAAAAAGTAGAATACAGAAAGAACTTTAGCACTGCTGGGGATGTGAGCTGCTGATATTGTAACTGATGTTATTAAATTACTCTGGCCCAGGCTTATTTGGTTTTAATTTTTATTTTGGTATACTTTGAGATAGAGAAATTGACAGGTATTATGGAGTTCCTGTAGCAGAAATCAGCCCAATACACTTCTACACCGAGGCTATTCTGGTCTTGCAGGTTTGTCCTCCACAGCATGGTCCTTTTCAGCTGGTAAGGCTGAGGCAGGAAGATCCAAAGTTTTTTTGCCTTTTTTTTGTTGGTTTGTTTTTTTGAGACAGGGTCTCACTATGCTGTTCAGGCTGGCCTTGAGCTCACTTTGTAGCCCAGGCGGGTCTTGAACTTGCAATGATCCTCCTGTCTCAGCCTCCCGAGTGCTGGGATTACAGGGGTGTGCCACCACGCCTGGCTGTAGATCCCAAGTTTTATGCCAGCCTGGGCAATTTCGTGAGACCCTATATCATTGTCTTGGTTACTTTTCTCTCATTGCTGAGACAAAATACCCAACAACCAAAGTTAAGGAAGGAAAAGTTTAATTAGTTCACAGGTTATAGAGGTTTCAGTCCATACTTGGCTGGCTCCAATGCAGGGTGGTACATGGCAGAGGGCAACAACAGTTCACAGCTGCAGAAGACAGCAAAAACAACAACAGCAAAAGGGAGGAGCAGCGGCAAGCAGCCTCTTTCCCTCCCTTACACTGTGTACAGGCTTCCTGCCCCAGGGCAGGTGTAACACTCATACCCGTAATTCCAACATTGAACCATGAATCAATCAAACTCTAGAAGCCAAGACTGCACAAGGCTTTGTGGGGACAGTGAGACACAAACAATCATAAAATCAAGCAAAATTTTTTTAAAAAAGCTTGTGATGGTTCTTGAGGCTCCAAAATCTTTCCTGATCTATGACCTTAACCATCTCCAGGAGGATTGGCCAGAGTTTTGTAAAATGTCCCCTAACCTGGCCAGGCTTGGTGGCAAACACCTATAATCCCACCGCTCTGGCAGGCTGAGGCAGAGGATGGCAAGCTGGAATGCAGCCTGAGAAAACTCAGTGAAAGATGGTGTCTCAAATTAAAAAGAGGGCTGGGGATGTAGCTCTCAGTGTGAAGGCCTTGAGTTCAATCCCCAGCACCACAAAACAAATTCCCTAACCTGGGTTTGGATAAAAACATCCAGAGGTAAGGTACCCTTCTCTTCCCGCCCTATCAGGGAACCTGAGACCCGCACCACACCTATGATGTTGACTTTGGTTACCTGGTGGAGGTGGGGTCCCCAGATCGCCACAGACATTTCACCCTCATCCGCTTACCCTGCTGTGTTCTCAGGAAGTCAGCCTTGGGTAGCACTGGGTTGGACAAGTAGATCCTGGGATATGTGTTGGAGGTGCACCCCAGTTTATGTAACCGCTGTCCTTGCCTGTACCCATGTGCCCTGGCCCTCTTCAGGCAGGGAAGTCCCGGCATAGAGATCCCTCCAGTGATATCCAGCTGCTGCCTGTCCTCTGCCATGCTTGGCTCCAAGAGCCACCTCTGAGCCTTTGGGGGCATGTGTGAGAGAAGGGAAAGGTGACCTCCACTGACAGAAGGGAAGCTGGGGCTTGAAGTAGGGGCCAACTGCGGTACCCTGCACGTTCCCCAAACCCTCTGGACCTCTTACCTATGAGCACAGATACACCACTTCTCCATACCCCAGCCTCGATTTCTCTATCTGTAAAATGCCATGACACCTCCTGTAGGCTTGCAATGAGGACAGGGTCACAAAGCTCAGGCAAGATTGGTGGCAGGGCCTAGGGGACATCCTGGGGTCTGAGGTGGGCCCATGGGCCACACATGGAGGCTGCTGAGTAGCCAGCATGGCTCACAGATAAAGGCCACAGGTGACCACCATGATGATGACTGGAAGTGGACAGACTCTTGAGGCCCAGAAAGGGTGCCTGTCAGGGTGCACGGACAGGCACCTGCCTTGACCTGGCTCACTCCTGGGGCAGCAGGTCCCCCTCGGCATCACCCCACTCTGTTGTGACTGTCCTCTTGGTGGTGTTCCCACTGCAGGCCCGGGGTTTCTTCCTGTTCGAGCAGCATGGCTATTGGTGAAAGGCATCTTCAAACCCCAGGTGGCCCCACCTCTTCACCATGACTGTTGTCTTGCTGGAAACTGTGAGCCCCTGAGGCCAGGCCGACAGTAAACAGCAGCAGCAGGAGTGAAGGGTCCTGACCTCCTCCTGTTCCCAGCACATGTGCAGCACTTGGGGCTGGGGAGGGGGCACTCACAAGGGCCCAGCAAAGAGGCAGAGGACTGAAACGCCTGTGGGTGGGGGCTGCCCCAGTGGCCCACCCTCTGGACCCTCAAAGACATAGTAGGAGCCATCACTGTGGCTCAAACTTGTACTTCCAGCACTGTGGGAGGCTGAGGCGGGAGGACGGCAAGTGCAAGCCCACCCTGGGCAACTCAGCGAGACCCTGTCTCAAAAAATAAAAAGGATGCACAAAAGGTGTAGCTCAATGCAAATTCGCAGGGTCCCATCTGTGGTAGCAAAGTATTTTAGTATGTGTGCTGCCGAAGCACGCACTATCAAAGTATTAAAAGATGCAGGAGGCCGGCCCTGTCAGGAACGCCGACCAGGTGCTTACCAAGTGCCCACGTGGTCCACAGGCTTCAGAGAGCACAGCCCAGGGAATGGGATGAGGGTGCCCAAAGGAGGCAGTACCCTCGGGGGCAAGGCTAGACTTCTGCCTTCCGTCCAGCCACTGCTCCTGCAAATTGCTGGCACCTCAGAGAACTCAGTCTCCATCTCCTGAGAGGCTGGAGTACCCTGAGGTGGGGGAATTCGGGGGAGAGTGGCCAACCTGAGGGCAGAAAGGGCCAGGTTAGGTAGCTGCCGGAGGATGGCGACAGGCCGGGCAGGGGGCCAGGCCGCGTGTCCCCACTGCGCGGGGCTCCAATTGTGAACGGACTGGTAGACGCCGCTACAGCTTCGCCCCCTGGAGGCTATGGTGGCCACTGCAGGCCCCCGCCGCCCGGCGGGAGCTAGGAAGAGGCGGGAGCCTGGTCGCCCACTTCCGCGAGCCCGACGCCGCCTGCGAGTTTGGGGGTTCCCGGCCATCTGCGTTCCCAGCGATCTCGCCGCTCTTTTGTAACCTGGCGCAGACGTCCTTGGGGGCTGCCAGAGGCCCCACCAGCTGGCCTCGGTTTCCCCGTCCCTGTTGAAGGGTCCTAGCCTGGGGCCGGGGAGCGACGCCGGGCCGGGACTTCGGTGTCCTAACTGGTTGGGGGGTTCCCTGCCTCGCTCTTGTTTTGCGCCCTCATCCGCCTCCTCTTATACTGCTATCGAGGTCCTGCCGGGCCCTCGCAGGACTAACTCCCCGGAACAGGGCGCCGAAAGAGGAACAAACGCAGGCCGAGCCGGGCGGGGCGGGGCTCACCACCTTCTGAAGCTCCGCAGTGGGACACCCGGTGGCTAGACCCGGGAGGTCTTGCCAGACTCCGGCAATGGCGAGGGTATACCCCAGAGAACGCGTGTGAGGCGGCGGGGTACACAAAGCAGGGGCCCCAGGCTGGGAAAGAAGGGGGGAAGGGTCGCGCACGTGGCCTGGGGGCGGGGCCGGCCGCTCAGCACCCCCATCCCGGCCACGTGCGGATTTAAACCCTCCCCCTACCCTGTCGAGAACGGGGGCGCGCCCGGGGCCAAGGTGGAGGCATCCGGGGAGGGGGCGGGCTCCTGCGGGCCGCGCGCCTCAGCGTGGGGTGGGCGCGCCGGAGAGGAGGTGGGGCGCGCGCCAAAGGAGGCGTGGTGCGCCCCGCAGGGAGGGGCGTTTCGGAGGAGGCGGGGCGCGCCCTGGAGGGGCGTGTCAGAGAATGGGCGGGGCTCACTAGCCGGGATCCCAAGGCTGGGGAGGGGATGCTGCAGGAAGACTGCGGGGTCGCACGCCAGGACGGGGCGGGGCTTCGAGGCATCGAGACCCAGCGTAGAGGGGACAAGCGACGGGTAGGGGACTCCGGCGCTGTCCGGCGCTGGAGGGGGCGCGCCGCGGGGCGTGCTCCCTCGGCCCGAGCCCCGCCCCCGATG